AAAAAAAAAAAAAAAAAAAAAAATAGTAAGCAACCTCAGCTGAGAGCTAAGAATAGGACCTGGAAGCCAGACATGTGTCAGACTCAGATACTCAAATTCTTCTCTCACCTGGGAAGACAGTCTCCTCCTGCAATGGGGGATGATCCTAGCCTAACGGCAGAGTCTGGGATGCCTAAGCAGAGTGGGGAGGAATGGATGGGTGGATTTGGAGTGTTTGGTGACGTTAGAGGGTCCAAGCAAGAAAAGCTTTTGGAAAAAGGGGCTCAACCTGCAGGAGAGTGGTCTTCCCACAGGCTGATCTTGGCCATGATCATTAGTAACACACACAATTCCATTTGAATTTCAGTTCAACTATTTGTTGTGTACTCTTAGGCAGATTTTTGTCTGTTTTCCCTTTCTAATGGAGGCAACCCCCCGCCCCATAGAGTTCAGTGAATACCAGGAACGTGCCGGTACATACGTGGTATGTACTGAATACACGTTCTTGCTACTGCTGTTACCTCCCTCGCTAGGCTCTTTGATCAGCCCCAGCCCACTCACTGGAGCTTGTGGAATTGTTCAAAGCCAGCGGCCACATACTGCCCTCCATTCTTCAAGTCTGCCAGGTCAGTGACACGATGGCCGTGACAAGTGTAGAGAGCACGCACAGCCAGTGGGGCCTGCACGGCTGATGTCACCTCGCAGAGGAAGGCCTCCATGGTGGGGAAGCAGCGTTGAGTCACCACCAGCCGGGAGCCTGGGAAGAAGGGGTCCCCATTCCGGTACACCACAACCCTCTTGGCTGCTGGATGGCCAGCCGCCATAGTGTAATCTGTCAGAGACACAGAGCTGTTGCCAGGCAACCAAGGAAGGGCTGGGAGCGGTGCCAATCAGAGGTGGAGTCCAGCCCTCTCACCCAGGAAGGCAGAGGGAGCCTCTGGCAGGAGCATTTATCTGCACTCAGGGTTTCATCCAATCTGCTCTAGGGAGATCACACTTCAACACAGGTGTTCCTTACTCTGCAGAGCCTCCTTGCCACTCTAAAGCACAAGGCTGAGCTCAATGGCGGATCAGCTTCAGAGGTTGTTCCCTAAGGAGGATGGCTAGATCTGTTCCTGGACTGTGGCTCCCAGCTGGCTCTGGGATCAATGCCCCATGCCTGTAGGAAGTGAAAAGCAGGGCCCAGAGTCTGTCCTGGCCAGAAGCAGAAAATGAAAGCAGCCAGGCTCAGAATGTAAGAAAAACCTTTATTCCCAACAGGTCCCCCATTCCACTTCCCCCAGGTAGCCACAAATTTGTTTTGGTTTTTGAGACAGTGTCTCGCTCTCTCACCCAGGCTGGAGTGCAGTGGCACAATCCTGGCTCACTGCAACGCAACCTCCACCTCCTGCGTTCAAGCGATTTTCCTGTCTTAGCCTCCCAAGTAGCTGGGACTACAGTCATGCACCACCACACCCATCTAATTTTTGTATTTTTAGTTGAGATGGGGTTTCAGCATGTTGGTCAGGCTGGTCTCAAAATTCTGACCTCAAGTGATCCACTGGCCTCAGCCTCCCAAAGTGCTGGGATTACAGGTGTTGAGCCACCATGCCCAATGCCTTATCCACAAATTTGGATTCAGCTATAGGCAGAAGATTGAAAGCGTACCCTTCCTCCTTCCCTATACTCATGCCAGCTCTCTGCTCCAGCTTCTCTTGGCCTCACTAGCCACTGATGCCAGGGGCAGGGGCAGGAGGCAGAGCTGGTACCAGGGAGGTAGGATGAGGTCTTGTCCTCTCTGCCCTTTCATAGCATTCCCCTTTGGAACTTGGTCCTCTCCTGGCTTCCCAGGGTCTAGCCAGATGGTCCTGTTTTCCATGGCCTGCCCCTCCACTGTTCCTCTCCTGTACAGCCCGCCCCTGTGGAAGACAGGATCTTAGGTGACTTTGATCTCCATGGTACAGTCCTCTGCTTTTTCGGTCCTTCGTGACTAGGCTCATTGGAGGTTCCATCTCTGGAGCTTCTATCACTAAGGGTCTGATCTTGGGTGGTTTAGTCCTCCAGAGATCGAGGCCACCATGCTCTGGCCCTGACAAGGTCCCATCTGAGATGATATGGTCCTCTGAGAGGCCCAACTCTTGTGTCCTGACTGTTTGGCAGTCAGGCTCTTTGTGGTCTAGTTTTCTGGGAGATGTCTCTTTATTATATGTGTCCTCACAGAGTGCAGGCAGCTGTGTCCTGTACTTCCTGGGACAATGGTCCCTAAGTTTTAAGCCTCTGGGGGTCTGGTCCTCCAGGATTTTCATCTGCAGCAGGCAGGTGCCTCCAAAGGTCTGTCTTCCATCATCCGGCCCTTTGGTGAGCCTGTCCCCCAGAGCCTGGCTGTTCGATGGTATTGACAACGGTGGTCCAGCCCTGCTGTAGCATGGTTCTCTGCACTTAGCCCCAGCAGTGTTTTTTTGTGTAGTGGCTTGACTTCCTGGGGATATGACCCTCTGGCAGGAGTCATCCTCCTGTTCTAGCTCTCCAGTGGTCCTGTCTCTGTAGGACTGGTCCTCCAGTGGTGCGCTTGGTTGTGACTGGTTCCTCTCACAGGCTTTTTTCCCATGTTCTGGGCACACACTGGGCTCCTCTCTGATCGGGCCTGCCTCTGGGGATCTCAGTGTTTGTTTGAGAATTAGGTACTGTTGAGGGAGAGAACATACACTGTACCAAGCAGGTCTGCTTGGGCATAGCAGGAGGTCTCTCCCTAACCCCCACCCTTGACCCTAAATGTTCGGAAAGAGATCCAGGTTAGTGCTACCTCCTTACGGCTATTGATGGCCTGTTGCAGCCAGAGCAATTCCATGGCCAAGTGGCTGCGGTGGTACTGAAGCTCTTGAAGCTCAGGTTGGCTGTGTGACAGTCTTGGATCTGTGGCTTCTGTCAAAGAGGGAAGGAATAAGGAGAAAACCTTGAGGGAGCAGAGCCCAGGAAATGGCCTAGCTTTAGACTTTGGAATCTCCCTTCCCATCACTGCCCAACCATGTGGTGGCCCTAACCAGGCAAAGAGAAGACAGGAAGGGGATGCAGCTTATCTAGCACAAGCCTTTCACTCTTCAGACGGAGAGGCTGAGGCACAGAGAGGGTCAAGGGCTTGCCCTGATCTTGGCAGAGAGGTACCTGGAGTCTCCATCCCTGTCGTGTCTCTGGTCTCCTCTTGGCTGGGTTTCCTGTTCTGCTCCATCTGAAGCCAGGGGCTGTGATCTCTGCAGAGGCTTCCTTGGTTTGCTGAGCTCTCTCCTGACTTCTTCAGCACCGTCTCCTCCCAGGTGGCCTCTCCCTCAGATTCTTTACACGGGACGTGGTTCCACAGCTCCTGCTCCGGATTTGCTACCCTGTCTCCTGCTTTCCAGGTCTGATGGGATTTTGCCTTCTGAGAAATTAGAGAGATGTGAAAGCCCGGGGCTTAACCCTTCCAAGTATCTGGGCACCATGATCTGGCAGACAAGTTGGTGAGGATTAAGGACTAGGGTGTGAGGAGGTGAGTCTGCTGCCTCTTCCAGTGAGAAAACCTTGTCACCAGGAAGGGTGGCTCCACTCTGCCCAAGCCCTCCTTCCTTTCTCTCCTAGGTGTGTCCTACCTCTTGGAGGAATCGTGGCCTGGGAATGCGGCCCTCGGTCCACTGAAGCGTGCCCAGGTCGCCCTCGATCTCTTGTACAATCGCCTCATACTCAGCTCGCAGGCTCTGAAACTGGCGTCGGACCAAGCAGCCCCGAACGCAGGCCTGGAGTGGAGAACGAGAGCGAAGAAGTCCCTCATCACGGTATGGGGGGGAGCTCTCAGAGGACTGTCCTGGAGAGGTCGTCCCGGCGAATGCTAGAGGGGACCCGGCGGCGGGGAAAGGATAGGTGGGCTGTGCGCTGGGGCTCCGGGGGGCTTGAGGGAGGATGCCGGACTGGACTCTCCCCCTCGCCTTAAGGCTCTTCCTGTTTCCCTGATCCCGCGCGAGCGTGTGGTGGGAGTGGGGGCGCGCAGGGCAGGGAGTCTGTGGGTCCCAGCTTTCGTCAGCGCGGTTGGGAGGCCGGAATCTCCAGAGATTGGTGCGCAGGTAAGGGACTCGCTGTGAGGTCCCGGTACAAGACCCCATGATTTCCCTAAGGGAAAATCCCGTGCACCCCGCGCCCGCCTCCGCCCCCGCACCTGCATCGCCAACACCCTCCGAACCAGCAGCTCCCGCTCCATGGGCGCCAACGGCCTGACAGGCCCGCCCCGCGCCTGCGCAGTACGTCATTGATCGGCGCCGCTACGGAGCGAGCGCGGGCGTGGGCCCCGCCCTCCCGTCCCCACGGCAACAGTCTCTCTTCTTTGATAGAGGCGTCCTCGGGACTGGTGACCTGCGTTGCCCCAGCCCCCGACTCCCCCTCCCACAGCCGCAAGGGGCACTCCAGTCCCGCAGGCGGGATCTCCATAACCAAAGGCCCGCGGCGCTGGGCTGTCTCCGCGGATGCCGGGAGAAAAGAGGCAATGAGGGGAAGCAGGACACTGAGCCGCTTTATTTTTCTCTGGTTTAATTCCATCCAGTGCCCCCCTCCCCCATAGCACCTGGGGGGCCGTGGAACACCAGTCCGAGTCCGTAAAAAGTCACAGTTTGAAGAGAATGGGAGGAGCAGTGTGGGCCTGCGTGGGACACCTACGCAGCAGACTGCTCCTCAGGCTCGGCGTTCTCGGCCAGGTGCAGCTTCTGGCTGTGCCCATCAAGGATCGTGGCGCTTTGGACCAGTCCTCCCACCCGAGTCTCCCATCCTGCAAGGGCTTAGTTCCCTCACCTGTCCAAAGGTTGTGGACTGGGGTTGCAGTCCCCGCCTGCCCTCTCTCACTCCCTCTCTCTTCAAACACAGTGGGGTGTGTGCGCTCTGTTTCTGAGGACCAGGTGAAGTGGTAGTGTAAATCAGTAAAAACAATTGCTCAATGCTGAAAGGATAGGAGGACATCGGGCAAGCTTTGCCATGCTTGGTGTCAGCTAAAGTACTCGCAAAGATTTTGATCAGTAGTAAAACATCTCCTGCAACCGCTTTTTTTTTGAAACGAGTCTCACTCTGTCACCAGGCTGGAGTACAGTGACGCGATCTTGGCTCACTGCAACCTCTGCCTCCTGGGCTCAAGCGATTCTCCTGCCTCAGCCTCCCGAGCAGCTGGGACTACAGGCGCTCACCACCACATCCAGCTAATTTTTGTATTTTTTTAGTAGAGACAGGGTTTCACCATGTTGGCCAGGATGGCCTCAATCTCTTTATCTCGTGATCCACCCGCCTCACCCTCTCACAGTGCTGGGATTACAGGCATGAGCCGCCATGTCCGGCCTTGCAACCACTTCTTTTCTTTTTCCTTTTCTTTTTTTTTTTTTTGAGTCATTCCCTTGAGTGTCAGCAACCACTTTTCTTCTAATTTTTGGGAAACTCTAAATTCCTGTACCTGGGGGTTCGGGCAATCTGGCTAAATCTGACAAGAGTGCAAGAGGTGGGGAAGTTGGTTGTGTGTGAATACTCCTGGAGGGTGCTGGGGAGGAGGAAACTGACCTCGCAGGAACATGCACACAGTTGGGTTCCTTGGAAAGGATACATTGAATTACTCAGGTCTTCCAGCTGTCAACAAAGAGAGAAATGGAAGCTTCTGTTAGGAGGGGCACCAAGCCAAATCCCCAATGCTCTGGGGGCTGTCTTCTGGGGAAGCTGAGGGGCTCAGAGCTCTTGGATGCATGCACTCCCACCTTTTCACCCAGACAGCATGTACCTCCTCCACCCCTGGTGCCCCAGGAACCAAAGTACCCAGACATGAACCCACATTGCTAAGCAGCTGGTCCAAGTTACGGTCAGCCATCGTCTTCTTCTGCTCCTCCGGCAGCCCCTCAGTGACCCCATCCTCTTCTTCTTCATCCTCCTCCTCCTCCCCACATACGTCTAGGCTGAAGTGCAGCCGAGCCAGCTTCTCCTGCATCTCCCGAACGTGCTCCAGCTGCTCAAAGGAGCATTCCTTCCCTGGAATGAAGCCCTGTCTGAACCCCGGGAAAGATTCCTGGAACCCTGGACCCTGGTCCCAGCCATATCCCACGGACCAGGCCCTCCAGCCCTATCCACAGTATCCCCAGACCCTCTGAGCCCAGCCCCCAGGACTCACCAAAGGCCTGCAGCCGGCCCGAGTGAAAATCATTGAGCAGGTTCAGGAGTCCCCCCTCCATCTCATAGACATCAGTCACCTCGGTCAGGAAGGAGTGCTGCAGGGGCGTGCCTGCAGAGCCGCCTCCACCTCCGGCCAGCACTGGGCGGCACTTCTCCTTGCCTACTCTGGGTGGGGTGGACATAACCATGATCACACGGTGGGGGGCAGTCAGGCACCTCCAGATCTTTTGTGTCTTCTGCCTATGCACTAATTCATCTGCCCATCTACTCATGAGCAGAAATGGATGTTTATGGTCCTCCCTTGGGCACCAGGAAGGGAGTGAGTGAGGAGGCATGAGGAGGTCAAAAAGAAGTCTTTTCTGCTAATAACACAGCCAGAGCCATGCCTGGAAGGAGGTCCCTGGCTTCCTGAGTGCCTCACTCATTTGTTCTATGACCCTGAGTGAATCACTTATCCCCCTTAATCTTCAGTGTATCTAGAGACAGCTACTCCTTTATTGCCACAAGGGCTATCTTACCTCTTCCCAAAATATCTTACTGTACCTCTTTTTTTTTTGAGACCCAGTCTCATTCTATCGCCCAGGCTGGAATGCAGTGGCATACTCTCAGCTCTCTGCAACCTCGCCTCCTGGGTTCAAGTGATTCTCATGCCTCAGCCTCCTGAGTAGCTGGGATTACAGGTGCCTGCCACTGCACCCTGTTAGTTTTTAAATTTTTAGTAGAGATGGGGTTTCACCACGTTGGCCAGGCTGGTCTTGAATTCCTGACCTCATGTGATCCGCCTGCCTCAGCTTCCCAAAGTGCTGGGATTACAAGTGTGAGCCATGGCACCCAGCCCCCCCCCTTTTTTTTTTAAGACTGGGGTTTCACCATGTTGGTCAGGCTGGTCTTGAACTCCCAACCTCAGGTGATCCACCTGCCTTGGCCTCCAAAGTGCTTGGATTACAGGCGTTAGCCACCGCGCCCGGTCTGTCC